GTAGCTTGGCACCGGAAGCGACGTTCTTGAATATTTACAAACAACCGACCGATGACGCGGTTGATGTTACTCTACTCTCGCTAAACTGTTTTGATTGTTTCGTTACATAAACACGTGAGTTCTAGTCGGTGCTGGCGTCTTGTTGTTGCCTCAAACGGTAAAGATTGAGATTGAGGTAGTAGTATCACTGTGTGTGTATTCCCTCTCTCTACAATGTCGCATTTATGGTCATTGTAGACAGCTTTAGTCCGGGAGTTATAGTACGTTCAGACTACAGAGTTATAACATGTTATAGCACTATCTTGATGGTGGTTTCTGTGTTGCAATTAGTTGACAACCGTTATAACATGTTATAACTCTCCAGTCTGGACAGCGTTTTAGATAGTGATAGCTCTATTGCAGATCCAGCAACCCATTTCAGAATATCTAGAGAGTCACGTCCATTCCGAATTTACTTTCACTTACAATAAGCCCCGCATGTATGCATCACCGTTATCAAATGGATATTGGTTATATATACACACTTCCAGGTTCGAAAATATTCTTTTCAAGTCTGGCATGTATTTAGTTTAATTTTGATATTTAATTTGTAAACAATAATTTAGACAGCTCTCACCATACTCTGCTCTTCCGCCGCCGTAATTGCTTCCTTTGGAATCCCTTGGACTTTTTCTCTAACGCTTCGTATTTCATTCCGTGCTTCACCGGCAATTTCCTTCCGTAGATCGTCCTTGGTTGGTTCTAACATGATTCCGTCTTTTCCGGGTTTTTCTTGTTTTCCGAAGGAGATAAATCCGCACTAATTTTCGCTCCTGATTAGTTTTTGACTCCCTCCTGAGATTGAGATAGTAGTATCACTGTACCAAAACATTATCTGTTCGTGTTGCTCCGAATACAGGATGAACATTGATACAAGAAGCGAACGGACCTTCAGTTGAAATAGCATCAATGTACCAGTCATTTTAGTAAAAAAGAGCTTTTTTTCGGATCAATTTCAATAGGTACACGGAAGTCTTTTTTTACACGGATTTTTTACGCGGTTTTTTTTACACGGTTTTTAGCATATACACGGTAAGTTTTTAACGATTTATCGACAACGATACAACCTATCGACTTGATTCTAATCACATTATCAGTTTCAAGCTATAGGTAATCGAATGACATACTTAGAAAAAAATCACAATTTTTGGTGTAAATACAGATTTTTTTTTAAATATGTCTATATGGCCATAGCATGCTATATTTACAAATGGCATCAAAATCCGATTTTTTAAAAACAATTAAGTAGGTTTTTTTTTTACACGGTTTTTTTTTTACACGGTACGTTCCCCCGTGTAAAAAAAGACCTGAGTATATATACATTTGTATACATACTTAACATGTAAAATTTTTTTAACTTTCATTGGTTATTATTACTTTGAGCTGAAAAAAATCTTTTTGCTGAGGCCTGAGAAAAACGTCTTTTTCAGTTCCATGATCGACAAATATGTCAGACGTCACGCGTTGTTATTGTTTTGCATAAGGTGTAGACTTTAGAAATTTAAGTTAAATCGACGTTGTTTTCGTGTTTTCTTTGGCTAAAATCAGTATAGGTGGGTAGATTTGAATGTAGTATTCATGCCTCAAACAAAGTTTCTTGAGATTCACAGTGCTTTTACTTGTTTGTAAATCAAAATTTATTGAGCGGTTTTTGGTAAACTGCAAATTTGATGAGTACTAATTACTGCGGTATATAATTCGTGCCTGGTGGCCTCACAACTGGATCACGAATGCCGAGCTCCATCGTCGATGTCATCAGAAGCCGATAGCAACAGAAATTCGAGAGCGAAAGTGGAGGTGGGTCGGCCACACACTTCGACGGGGCGGAAACGAAATCTGCAAGCAAGCCACTATCAGATATCAGGCGGTCAAAAATTAAAAAATCGACTTTCACTCATCCTTATTTCGTCATTTTTGGTCGATAGTAAACATTTCAACTAAAAGTCAAAAAATAGTAAGAAAAGTACAAATTTTGCCGCAAAAATACACTACCACTCAAATAAAATTTCATCCGCTATTTATCATATAACTACCACATCATTATACATCGTTGGAAAGGTAATTTAATAAGCTTTCCGAAAAAAAAAAAAATAAAAAATAAAAAAAGAAAAAAAATTGAAAATTAATGAAAATTTAACTTTATTGATCACAAACTTTCGAGTCTCGCACATTCCCAGGCTAATTCTCAGCTCTGGATGAAGTTTTGAGTGTAATCTAACAAGTACTGAAGAGTTTGCCTGCCCCATTGGAAATATAAGCGATTTGAAAATTTTCGGTTATTATGGGAGATTTCAAATTGTACAAGAGCCGGCTTGGAAACAAACTTTTTCAACAATTATTTTGCAACTTTTGGAGTTATATTCGGTTGTTATAGTCGAAATATATTGTTAAAGAACATTTTCTAATATTTCATGACCAAAAAAGGGCTTAAGCTTTTGTACAAAAAGAAGTCATCATTATCTTAAAGTTCACTGTTGGATGAACGTAAAACTACATTCGTTTATGCTTTATTCTAAAGTAAGTACCTGGGTTATGACGATTATAGAAGCATATGCGTAAGTATGTACCTACGCATATGCGCGGATGAGTTTAATTTATACCTAAGTCTGTACTTAACCTACTGTAGTGTCAATTTGAAGCCATAGTGTATTTTGTGTAGCTTTTATTTAAACTACTACAGTGTAATTCAAATTTACGGTTGAGACCAAGTGTGAGCATGGATAATAGAACCATTATTAATCTATTAGACGCAAAATTAAGCCATAGTGACAATGTTCACAGAGCCATTGAATTCATTTGTGAAAATTATAACATCTCGGTGGAAAAACGTAAACGTCTCGATGAAAAGATCCATAAAATCGTTACTAAATACATTAACAAATGGCATGAAGCTAATCGCACGAAAGAGCGATTTGATTCGTATTTTCGGAATTGGCTTGATGGAGAATTTGATCCAAAATTCGATACCATCGAGAAAGCTTTGTTATTTGCAAGAAGGACCGCTTATAATCGAAAGGATTTTAATTTAGTTAAAGTTATTGGGCATATTTTAAAAAACCAAAAAAGCTCTAAAACCATGCTGGCTCAACTAACTGATCAACGAGGAATGATGTCACCAGAAGAGGCTTTTAGTGTACTTATCGAGGCTGGATTGAAGATTTCAATACGAAGTAATACATAGTGAATCACCTTCAAGATTTCCACCTTACTATGTGATCGGAGCAGTGAAAAAATATGCGCCCCTCCTAGTGAATTCATCGAAGAAAGTGCATTGAAAATAAGAGTGAAACTCCAGGCGCTGATGGAAAATACAGTGAAACGAATCGTTCAAATAATTGATGCAGAGCTCAACGAGTATATGGATAGCAACGATCTAGTTTCTACGGAACTGGTTCTTCTATGTAGCTAGGGTATGGACGGATCAACTGGATATTCGCAATATCATCAAGTGCTACCAGAAGGATGTCAGGACGATTCAGATGTATTTTCGTCCACTTTGACACCAATTCAGTTGTTCATGTACAATGATCGAAAGGAAATTATGTGGTTTAATCCCATGCCTCAAAGTATTCGATTTTGTAGGCCATTCGCATTCATTCTTGAATTCATTAAAGAGAGTAAAGAAGTTATTCTGGTACAAAACAGGATGTAGAAAAAGAAATGAGTGAATTAACGCCAGTGAAAATTGAACTCTCAAACGACAAGTTTATACTTGTTGATTTTGATTTTGTCCTCAGTATGATAGACAGAAAAGTCTTAACTTATATCACTGGAAATTCGATGCAGAATTGTCCAATATGTGGGGCAACACCAAATGTAATGAATGATGCAGAGAAATTCGAGGAAGGATTTATAACAAACGAAGAAGCCTTGCATTACGGCATATCTCCACTTCATGCTTGGATAAGATTTTTCGAATGCCTTTTGCATATTGCATACAGAATGGATATCAAAAAATGGAAGGTAACGAAACCGTTCAAAGAACTATATGAACAAAGAAAAAAACATGTGACAACACAGCTTTACGAAAAATTTGGAGTAAGAGTAGATCAACCACGATCGGGTGGAGCAGGTACCAGTACTACAGGAAACGTTTGTCGAAGAGCATTTGGAAATCCCAAGCTTTTAAGCTCCGTGCTGAACATGGATGAAGAGTTAATTTTCAGATTCCGGAATATATTAATTGCTATTAACTGCCAAGAGCCAATAAACCCGGAAAAATTGTATGAAAATGCCCCATAGTGCAAGCGCTGGATTGGAATCCGGCAGGACATCGTAGCAGAGGCAGACCCAGGGGCTCATGGCGGCGGAGCCTCAATAAGGAAATTAAGCAAGTCGATAGGAACCTGACCTGGGCCCAGGTCAAGGCAAAAGCGAGCAGCCGCCCAGAATGGAAGTCTTTCACGTTGGCCCTTTGCACCGCTGGTTGAATTGAATATTATAAAGGAAAGAATTTCTTGTGGTAACAACGTAAACAAGCGAAATGTCCATTCTATATGCAAGAGTATTGATGGTCCGAAAGTGAGGATAACAATAACAAACCAACATTTTTGGCTAGAGCGAAAATGAGGATAGAAAACTAAGCACTTGAAAATGGGATTACACAAGTGTGCGAGTTATAAACGTCAGAAAGGTCAATACAAATAAAAACCATAAGATCGATCTACCAAAGATCGATTCTTTGGTACCGATTTAATCAGTGGATCGATTCTAGAATTCTAGATTGTAGAATATATAGTATCTATAGCGTAAAGGCGGTAAATGTCTGCTGCACGAACATGGCCTTTATACCAAACGGCAGTTATAATAAATGACCATTATGTCAAACGGGGTAGAGCCGAAGCATTACTTTGTTGTGAACTTTAGACTTCTAAGTATAGCCAGCGAAAATCTGATTCCACAGTTGCTTTCTTATCAGCTTTTGCTGGGCGATGAGTGCATATCCCAAACCACCGGATGTTTGGTCATTGATGGGTGAGAACAACTCTTCTTGATAATATCAGTTATGAAGTTCACAGCAAGAGTATAGTGAAGCTAGTGACATGCGGTTTCCAGTGCTCATGTTGTTGCAGTAAAGAACATGTGATAAGTTAGTTAGCAATTCATTTTGGCAATCACTTTAGATTGAGTTGCGATGAAGAGCAGTTGGAATTGAGATTTTGGGACTTATTTTCGCTAACTTTCCGATAAAAATATACGCGTGTTCTCAAAGTAATACGAAGAAAACGAGCAAAGACCATGAAGTGGAAACGTTTGCTCTCGCTTGCCACCAGCAGCGACAAAGCTAGCTGGTCTGATAAGAAGCATTCGTGTGAGTACCTATGGGATTTGGCAAGAGGGTCATAAATTGATAAAATAATCGTTAATTATTTTTTTGGTGGATTTCTTTACAGCCGATGTCGGTGTGAAATCCATTCGACGTAAACCCTGTTGCAGCAAGTGCGCACTGATATGCAAGTGTAAACGACATAAGCGCACTCTTCGTACGCTTCCAGCAGATCATTTTACAAGTGGTATTTTACCATAGAATGCACGATTGAGCAATGAATTGCAAGTGATAACAATAAAGCACATAAGCCCTCACATTGATGATAACCCAGTTTTGTGTGTGAAAGAATCACCCCAACATCATTTAAGTATAAGAAAAGCTACGAATAGTGGTACTCACCCTCAGCAACCAGGTCAGCACGGAGTCCCGGTAGGGAATATAGGTAGACACATTTCGTTTCGTCTCCGCCAGTGATGTAATCACCTTTCCCAAAGTCAACAGGCTCTTGTTGATGCTGACACCTTCCTTCAGCCGTTCACCACTGGCACAGGTCTGACTGACTCGTTCTGAGCCGGCCAAATCCACCAGACTGATCTTGCTCCTCTTGGTTTGGTGGACGGCGTCAATGTTCCTCTGCTCGGATGACACCACTTCCGAAAGATTTAGTACAACCGAAAAAATCGAATGTGAACGGGAACTTTTGTCATTCATTCCCGTTGCAGCCGTAGCCCGTTGGCTGTTACCGACGGCAAGCCAGTTTCGCAGAGCCGAGTGTGAATCCACAGGATGTGTACTCAAGTCCACCACATATGGGCCCCATATGGGATGCTCGCGCACCTTAAGCGGTGGTTTCTTGGTATTGCAGGAAGTTACAGAGAAAACTCCGTCAGTTGGAGAAACTGCCAACAAGTCGTGAATTTTTTCGTTATAAATTTCGAAGTAACTGACTTCGGCCTCTATGCGCACCTTGCCTTTGAGCGACTCAATTCGGTTGAATAGTTCCTGACAGAAACGTGGGATAATTCCAGCTTCCGAACTGATCTCCAAATCGTCGGAATCTATTCCCATCATGCTGTAACTTTTGCCGGACCCGGTTTGCCCATAGGCAAACAGACAAGCATTGTATCCTTCGAATGCCTTATCCATCAGCGGTTTCATTAGACCATCATAGACGCCTCTTTGATCCGCATAAGCACGATCTTCCGCATTGCACGACCAAAAAGCATTGTCATACTGGAAGCTATGCTGCACTCCCGCAGAATTATCAGCCGTATTACCTGCATTCACAATTACTTCATTGTCCCTTACCCTCACAATATTTGCTATTGATTCAATACACTCTTTCGCCGAAAGTGGCCTCACTCGCACTGCAACTCTCAGATGACTTATTTCTGCATTCGGGCCGTCCTTCTCCTTCAACGATTTCACCGATTCTTCCAACTTCACCGAATGACATCCTACTGAAGGACTGTCCAGCGATACTTTCGAAAAACATTCCGGTGTTCTACTGACCAAATTATCTAGATACGACCTAGTCTTCTTCAGCTTATCGATCGGTGTGCCGTACGTCGAACCACAACTTTTAAACGAAGTTACCGAATCCGATCTGGACCGTAACTGTGATAAAGGGGTCAGAGCCGTTGAAGATTTCGACTTGGTGTTAGAAAATAAGGCCGCTGGATTCTTCGAGTTCTTCAAGGCTGAAGACGATGGGGTTTGATATAAACTCTCATTACTGGATGAACTAGTATATTTGTTACCGGCAAGTAGAGATGAGCTCATGGTGGGTCTGACCAAATTGGACCGCGATGGTGTGGTCGGTTTTGAACCGAAACGGTTGCTATTCTTCGGGGTCGTTAGATTGGAATTCATCGTGCGTCACTGTTTTCAAGCACTACTAAGCAATCATGCACGTTATTCACTATTCACAGTCTGTAGTTTCTCTCGGTATCACAAAACCAACATTTTGATGGGGAAAATTTAAGGTTTTTCACGAAAAACGAACACGGATGAAAGGCGGTTCGCAAACGGAAAAAGCGTTGTAAAAATATAGAAAAAACTGTCAAAACAAAGACGATTTGAAAATGTTTTTCTCCCTTTTCTCTCTTTCTCTTTCGTCGCAGCTACCTTCGCGGTTGCTGAGAAGGAGCTGCGTTTAAAATGGGATGTAACGGGCGGCACAGCACTAAACACGGTGTTTCGTGAAAACCCATGAATGGGTAAACAACGAGGTAAAAAATACCCATTTTCAAACCATATGTAGCTTAGTTGAAGATTCTAATTTCAAATAACAGACTGTAGTGGTAATTTTTATACGATAGATGGAGTAGATGAAAACATAGAGTTGATAGTTCCGTTAGAGTACGGCCATACACACTTAATCAAGCTCGGTAAAATCTCCAACAGCCGATTACCTCGGCATTCACTTTTGCTGATATCTCTTCAAAATATCTGTTTGTTAGCTGATATCTCAGCAAAATGTTATTTGTTAGCTGAGTCTCGGCAATTGTTTTACTGAATCTCAGCAAAATAAATTGCAGAACTGCTCGGCTGTTGGAATCTCGGCGAAATTTTTTAAGTGTGTAGAGGTAACTCTAGACCACTGGGTCCCGAAGAAAATCATTATTATTTTTGGCTCACTCAGTACCAGAACAACGGTCCCAAGCAGTCCCAAGCTATTTCACTCACCCCTGCATGTTCTGCATGAATCCACACACCCCTGATGTTATCTGTCAAACTTTCATAGCGAATCAAAACAAACATAGTGTAGTAATAGAATTTCAACTAGAATAGGGTACGTTAATCGTTTGCTTGGGACCAATAGGCTACTAAAGTGGTGAGCCAATTTAAAATCGTTAGTTTCGTATTGATTGTTGGTACGGCAGTGTGAAGATTGCATATAGATATAAGAATAGCGAGCTAGGACAATTTTTAAGGAAGGTACAAATCGGTTTTTTCATCTCTCTTTACCAAACTCCCCCTTTGGAGAGGGATGGTGAGGGGAGGGGGGGGGGGGAGTACACCTTGGGGTACACTTTGTGAAAACCGAAAATGGAACATGTAACAAAATTATGTAAGATTTTGAACGTTAATAACTCAGCTGCCCCTGGACCAATTTCAATATTTCTATCACCAATCGATCAGAAATATGTCGACGCATATGTTAAATTTCAGACTGTATCATTTTTCGAAATGTCACTATTGAAAATTGCATGATTGTGCAACTGTAGCTATGATAATTAAAATTATCACCGATTGCCTGCGAAAAGCGATTTCCCTATCACAGATTTCAAAGTTGAATTCCATCCGGTCTCACCAAACGATTTTTATTCAATCACCGCGTAGTAAGTGGTGGTGTTCTCCAATACACAACGAAAGGCTTCCCACAAGCTGCTAGATATCAAGGCTGACCTCAACCGCTGATCGGATTCAGTTCCAATCACCGTGTGTGGTGGTGTCCGGTCGTTGGTATCAGCAGCAGCAGCATACTAAAGAGTATAAACAGAGAGAACCCCGCTATAATTCCTATTCCTACACAAAATACAAGCTCCTGCTTCAGTTAACAAATAAGATTTATTATAGAAGACCACGTAGTCCTACATCATCATTGCGTACAACACCATAGAGCTGTCCCTTGTAGTTTTAGCGAAAATGGACGATCTGGATTTGGAAACTGTGACGAGCCAAAAAAAATGAAGGTCCATTAAAAAAATGGGCAAAATTTGCGATGGATCTTCCCTAAAACAAAATGAAATGGACAGCAAATAAATAGAAATCTATAGACAGGGCATCTAAATTTCTGCTATTTTGATTTTGCGGTGTGATTAATGGTGGTCTGTGGGTGATTCGAGATCCGGTGGCCTGTCGAAGTTGGTGGCTGGGGGTTCCAGTTCAGTATAATCGGTGAAACTTTGTGATATTAGTGTCGTTTTGTCGCTTCTGACGCTGGTCCTCATACCGGCCTCTTTCTATGTTTGGTGCTGGGGAAGGATCCGAAATGGATTCAGAATCCATTTCAAATTTTCGTTTTTTTTTTCGTCTTCGGGTGGGGTGTGATATGGGGATTGGCCTAGGGGAAGGACGGCTCCAAGTATCAGCATCAATACCGATGGTGAAAATATTAAATATTTTAATATGTGTGATATTTGCGAATCTTACACCTAGTCTGACAGATGTTTTTTTTTTGTTTGGCTATTTTTGGTTTAAAGTGTACATTTGACATTCGTTTAATCAAAAAACGGATTTCACACGAGAGTCAAGTCATTCCTTGATGATCTTGCTGGCCAGGGCCACCAAAATCCACTCCTTGTTCTGATAAATTTGGCATTCTTTGGTAGCTGATCTCAGTGCACATAATCTGGGGCACTTCCGTTCCCAGGAAATAATCATTAATTTTCACGAGTTCTTCATTGTCTGCAATCCAATGTTCAGTCCTCCGATGGAACGGGAATCGACTGACTACGGTGCCCCTGTAAACGAAGTCCCATAGTGATGGTTCCGTGGCCGTAATACATTCGCCATGAGCCTGCAATTTGGAGAGATTTGCTGCTGGGGGAACTTGCCTAGTCGAGTGCCGTTTTTATCATCAAAAAAGCCGAAGGCGAAAACGATCAGAGCTATCGAAAACAAAAATCTAGGCAAAAATGATGAAACAGAAAGCTGCAGGTAACATAAACAACAACGGTGAAACGTCATTGAGTGTATGCGTTAAAGCTACACTGTTATTTTTTTTCACTTTGTAGCTTTCCACTTGACAGTTAATATCATTAATATTCATACTAAAAACTATAATAACTACCAATATGAGCAATTTCTACACCAAATATTACTTCATATCAAGTTGTACTCCCCCTAGGGATTGGCGGTTTTGTCGAGCTTGGAACACTTGCCTACGTGGGTTTCGCGAGGTTTCCGTACCCTTTACTTCGGTTTGGCTGCTTGTGGGCCATTTTCGATTGAGTTTCCCAAAAGAAAAAGATGGTAAAAATACACGCTAAAAATTGTTTACCCAATTTACTTTAAATAATTCAAATGTTTAGAGTATAAACATTTATATTTTTAATTTAAATAAGCAAAATTCGTATCCGTGTGTGTTCTGTCTGTTTGTCTGTGCCTAAACGTTTTATTTTCACACTGCAAAAAAGTTTTTTTCTTAGGTGCACCATTTTGAATTTTGGAAAATTATCATAAGATCCATTTATCCAGATTCTGGGTAGCTGTTACTCATCAGAACAACACTTATTTACTCAAATTTTGACAACTCCACACTTGGCGCAAGAATGAGTGGAATCTACTCAGTCACTGGGTTGACTCAAAATAGCGTGTAGGGCCCTATCTTATTTCGAATGATAACGTATATAACTCTCACCTTTGCTAACGCTGTCCGAATCCGTTTTATAGCACGCCTGAGAGAAAGCGACAGCTGAGAATTTTGCGAGATTTTGCTTCCTACTCCGGCAACAGCGAATACCGCCGCATCACAGTTCAAGCCGGGAAGCAAGAAAGGAAAGATCACAAAAAAAAATCTGTGCGCGTATCACCCATCACCAGTGACGTGTAAATTTATATTTTGCTGGAGGCGAATTTTCCTCACAAAAATCGTCTTCTCCAAGCTACTTCATTCGACCGAACTAGGGATGGATCACGCCAAAAGTCGGGGGCGAAAGCCCGCTACCGTGGTAAAACGCCAAGGGGAATCGAAATCCTACCGGGTTCACATTGCGCTAGGGCTGTTCATGGTGATGCTGTGGCTGTCTTTCCCGACGCTTTGTTCTGGGCAGCACGATCACGATCATGACCACCATGATCATCACCACGATGAGAATCCGAGTTTTAAGGTACGTGCAAGCTAGTACAATGGCTGAATTGCTTTGTTACATTATATAAGTTTATTATTAATCGTTTGCTGTTTATAGTACTCCAAGCAGGCTAATGAAATGTATCAGGAGGAAAGTCACGATCATCATCAACATGATCACGATCATGGACACCACCATGATGATCATCATCACCACCACCACGACGACCACCACCATCATCATCACGATGATGATGTTCCAAAGGGAAAGGATAAACCACAAGTCGGTAAGTTTTTTTTGTTTTGACAAGAACCTTTCGTTCAAGTAAAACAAAGGTTATGATTGTAATCTGGTTTTGTTCCACAGATATCTTTTACATCTGGGTCCATTCGCTCGGATCGACTCTGCTGATCAGCGCCGCACCTTTCTTCATCCTGTTTGCTATTCCACTGGACAACACGGAGGAAATGCAACCTCGGTTGAAAACCCTTCTGGCCTTTGCATCCGGGGGGCTACTAGGTGATGCTTTCCTTCATCTAATTCCACACGCCATTCAGCCACATTCGCACGGAGAGAATGGACATGGGCATGGTCACAGTCATCACCATGGCGAAGGAGAGGAAGGACATGGCCACGATATGCGCGTGGGTCTTTGGGTTTTGGCTGGAATTATTGTGTTCTTGGCAGTGGAGAAGGGTGTTCGGCTGATCAAAAAGGATGCCGGAGGTCACGGCCATAGTCACGGAGGGACTTCCAAAAAGGAAAAGACATCGCCACCAGCTTCTCCCTCGAAGAAAGAAAACAAATCTTCCTCGAAAAATGATAAGAAAAAGGCAGAAGCAGATGCTGCAAAGGCCAAGGGCAAAGCCGTCAAGAAGGAACCCAAGAAGGATCAAATCAAGATAGCTGGCTATCTTAATCTGGCAGCGGATTTTACTCATAATTTCACCGATGGGTTGGCCATCGGTGCTTCCTACCTAGCCGGAAACAGTATCGGTGTCATAACCACGATCACCATCCTGTTGCACGAAGTTCCTCACGAGATTGGAGATTTTGCAATCCTGGTAAAATCCGGTTGCTCGAAGAAGAAAGCCATGATGCTTCAGTTGACTACCGCTATCGGTGCTCTGGCTGGGACGGTTCTCGCCTTGCTGGGTAGTGGAAGCGATGCTGCCGAATCCTGGGTGCTTCCATTCACGGCCGGTGGATTCATCTACATTGCAACCGTCTCCGTCATCCCGGAACTGCTTGAAGAATCCACCAAGCTGTGGCAATCGCTAAAAGAAATTACCGCCCTGCTGGCCGGCGTCGGAATGATGGTAATTATCGCTAAGTTTGAGTAATTTTCTCTCCTATCGTCTTCTGCGTGTTTGTGTCATTTTTTTTTTTTGCACTATTTTGTGGTGTCATTTGTGTTTGCCGGAGCCTCGTGTTTGAGAAAATTGGACAGCGCAGAGCGTTAGTAGTATTCTTCTTATCTAATCGAACCAATTGCCTGGAAAAATGTGATCAATTTTGATGAACGTGAAACGATACGTATAAACTGAATTGGAGAACAATATCGCGTGGTAGGAAAATAGAAAATTGGAAACTATTTCTTGTAGTAAGTTATGATTAAAATCATCTACAATAAAAAGCAATATAATTTATCTTCTCACGAACAAAACCAAACTTTTTGATCTCAATTCGATGACCTTTCTCAAACACGTGGCTTCAAAATTGGTCCGCGCTGCACTTCCTTTTCTTTACTATCTCTCAGGTAAACATTACCGTTGTTGGAACGAAAATAAGATAGGTAATCGTTTAGAAATTACAGTCGTTATCTATCGGCAAAGACTGATTGATGCATGATATACCTACGTGGAAAGGGTGTGCCTGTGTCTGCCGACCCAGGTAATAGAAATTACTAACAAACAGCTATTTTTCTACAATTCATACTCATACGTTTACTAACTTCAGTAATTTAAGGTAACCGTTGTAATGGTGTTATTACTTATTCAAATCCTAGGGAACATGTTTGAAAGCCATCGAAGAAACTATTGAACGTTAATCACCATCGCCACGGCACCGTTTTGTGCTAGTACAATATTTTGCGCGTTTTTAAGATCAGTCTGTTAGTTTATCCAAGTGAAATATATGTTTATATTTTAACTGTTAGTGCGATCAATTTTTAATTTTAATTCAATTTGTTTAGGGAATAAAATGTGAATATATGTTCTGTAAAATTTGTGCTAGCACAAGTCGGCGTTATACTTATTGAAAGCGTTCAAACATTGCGTAAATCTACCTTACTTAAGTGTAATAAACGAATCAAATTATTTACAACGTATTCCCATTGTGTCACTGATTTGCTTCGAAAAGTTCATTGACGCCGTGTCCCATCATGGCGTGCTGAAACAGTATTATGTATGGATGAACTTTGTAACACTTAGTCAAAGGGTTAGAATCAAGTTGCTGAAAGTTGAAATGTTGGAAATAAAATAAAGTAAGGAAAATAGCTTCTGCTTTGGTAACACTTTTACCTTTTATCGTCCTTGAGAGATCAAATCGGTGATCTGAAGCATGATCCTCATGCACAAAATGAGCGCTCAATTACTTCATTTACCCCGTGACAATAATAGGTAAAAGTATATTGTCGAAGCCATCATTTATCTTATTTTTCCCCTTTTGAAACCAGGGTGAAACTATCGTGATGGAATTTGCTGACAGTATAGACAATGGTGGCCGCTAGTGGAAGCCCGAGCAAAGCTGGAGATCAAATTGAAATCAAAATTTGCTGTTATGATGTAAATTATTTTGAATACTCCAGTTGATCTCACTTTGGTCGACTTAATGGTTAACACAGCAAAAATGAGAGCAAAATTTTACACTGTTGAAGCAAACGGAAAACTAATCCTGCTTTCAATGAAATCAATTTGATTACTGATTTTGCATTCATAATGTTTAACTGAATACGGGCCTGGAGTAAATGGTTAGCATTCATGCTTCTCACGCTGAAAGACTTGGGATCAAATCTCACCCCGCACAGTGGGGCAGCGAAGCCATTCGTGTGGCCAAAACCTCTAGCGCCGTTGGTTTGCTTTATACAGCAATACAATGTTCTACAAAGATGCTCAATACTAAAAGCGCCATCTTTTGAATGTTTCATATTAGTTCATTTTTACACCACATAGGTGGCGCTCGCGTCTATCTTTTGAACGGAGCATCCTAGCCGAATGGTTTTTACAGCAAAGTTGTGTAATTTGATGTGTTAAAAAATGTTGTCGAAGACATCGAAACTCTATGACTCACATTAAGCGAGATATTGGGCAATTAGGAAAACTAACCTCTAAAATTGCGTTTTTTCCTTTTTTTCACCTATATACGACAAATGTATAAGTTTTATACCTACCCTGATAATTAACAAAAAGGTGTGACTCATCCAATAAATACCCATTACTTTATATATCATGCCTTATTATAAAGTTATTAACATAAATGTCTCAAAAAAGTGATGTATAAAAATGTCAATTACTCTAAATATAGCAAAAAGTAGCAGCCAATTTTTTTACAGTGATTAGTGTAGACCTTGCTGGATAAAATAACGACCACAGTTCAACAGGCAACTGCAGGCATTTTCATATAACATCATTTGAATGTTGTATATGGTAAATTCTTTAAAATTTGTTGAAATTTTGCTTTGTGTGTAAAACAAGATAAGATGTTATTTTTGAATGCAATAGATGCATTAATAGATTACTAGGAGACTTAAAACTGCTGGTTTAAAATGTCCATCCTCCAACGTCCTCCATAGTGTCCTTTCGACTTGTTTTGCGACTGTATCGTTCCCGAAATTTATTTCTGGCTTCCTGAGCCTCCTCGCTTAACATACCAATTGGAAGCAATGCAATATGGATTGCTTGCGATCCGTGGATTAAAACCTTATGGACAGAGGCTGACATTGGATACCATTTATAAAGGCTAACATAAAGACGAGCAGTTTCTTCAGCAAAATATCGAAATGCTGTTATTTTGATCGAAAATCCGGAAGACAACGTTCGAAGAATTGTATCGCATCGGTCAATTAATTCTTCATTAATACCAGTTATTGCACTTTGTGTGTTTTTGTGCTTGTGTTTCTGATCGTTTGTAATATATTCAGATCAATAACATCTTATCATGTTTTACACACAAAGCAAAATTTCAACAAATTTGAAAGAATTTACCATACACACTTAGAAATAACTAATTTTACACGAGACGGAATCAATCTTTGACATAAAGTATGAAAAGTAAACACAAATTTCATGTAAAATTAAGGTCTCCGAGAATGAAAAGTTTGATACTCGGCGAAAACTACGTTTGATTGCCTTGAATTTCACGTCTGTTATGACTCAATTTTATGTCAAATTTGAAGCTCGTATGTGTCAGTCTCAGAGCATCTAAAATTACATCAATTTTTCTAAGTGTGTATGCAATATTCAAATAATGTTATATGAAAATGCCTGCAGTTGCCTGTTGAACTGTGGTCGTTACTTTACCCAACAAGGTCTACACTAATCACTGTAAAAAAATTGGCTGCTACTTTTTGCTATATTTAGAGTAATTGACATTTTTATACATCACTTTTTTGAGACATTTATGTTAATAACTTTATAATAAGGCATGATATATAAAGTAATGGGTATTTATTGGATGAGTCAAACCTTTCTGTTAATTATCAGGGTATAAAACTTATACATTTGTCGTATATAGGTGAAAAAAAGGAAAAAACGCAATTTTAGAGGTTAGTTTTCCTAATTGCCCAATATCTCGCTTAATGTGAGTCATAGAGTTTCGATGTCTTCGACAACATTTCTCAACACATCAAATTACACAACTTTGCTTTAAAAACCATTCGGCTAGGATGCTCCGTTCAAAAGATAGACTCGAGCGCCACCTATGTGGCGTAAAATGAACTAATATGAAACATTCAAAAGATGGCGCTTTTAGTATTGAGCAACTTTGTAGAACATTGTATTGCTGTATAAAGCAAACCAACGGCGCTAGAGGTTTTGGCCACACGAATGGCTTCGCTGCCCCACTGTGCCCCGGGCAAGTCACAAATGACCTAAAATGTGTTAAACAAAACAAATAAAAAATAATCATTAGTTCAACGACAGATGAACTTCAATTAAATTTTAAACAAGACGTTATCAGTAGAACTTCAAGTTAAGTTGCTTTCATTTAAAAAGTATTGACTGCATAATGAAAGCACAATATGATATCAGACTTCTGTCGCGACATTTGAAATCAAAATGAGTTTTCATTATGATAGGAACTGCACACTTTAATATCGATTTGCTTTCATTTTGTTAACCGACTTTGCTCGGGAAGGCTATTTTTAGACAAGCGAGAGAGTGAAAGAGTATACCTACTTACTTATGTATGTATCCTGCGCGATTCTGTGACACTACCCCGAATGTCACTACCCCGAATGTCACTACCCCGAACGCCATAACCCCGAACGCCGTTACCCCGAATGTCCTACTACCCCGAAATTAAGACAAACGGAAGAACAGCATGAGATCAAAGGATGGGTAAATTTTTTAGAAGAAAATTTTCTTTTGTAGTTTAAACTGAATACAAATGATAACAACAACAATTTAAAATTGATTCCCCTCCCCTTGGCTAGTTTTTGCACCTTGCTGTTGGTGGGCGGGCTTAATTTCATGCTAGTGGAGTGTTGGAGACGGTGGGTTTGTGGCCGACGTTGCTGGCTCATGCCGCGATAGAATGGCGCCATGGGCAGGCAATGAGGATTACTGAGCTTCCCCTCTCTGATAAACCACTGCATGAGAGAACAAAAGATCTAGTCCAGCAGTGATAGTATCACACTTGTTACTCCTTTTATTGAGAGCCGCGTCGTAGTACGCTTACGTATAGGCACTGACGTTGGGTGTGATACTGGCGGGTTTTGCCGCAAATCACTCTTATTTTATTTATTTTTACGCAGATAGATTTATTTGGGTTTGCAAGGGAATTATACTATTGAAATATTTCAGAAAGTGCCCAACGGTGCTCCTTCTACTTGCGTGACAAGCTTTCATTGTTGTTTTCATTGAAGTATTACTCAGGGAACAATTTTAAACATCATTTTTGTACATGGTATTGTAACTAATCTTATATGTGCTTCATTTTGATTTGGGATAAATGTTTGAACTATGGCTCGGGATTTCCACTGTTGCGTGCTTCTATTGTGATATATCCATACGTAATTTTGTGGGACGACATAGTGGAAACGTGTGAGCGTAGTTGGAGCATATACCCTATGTAATTTAAAAATCAGCTAGGAAACTAACTTCAAAATGAAGCATTTTAGTCACTTGAAGGTGTCACCTGGGTCGAACTAAGATATAATAAATAGGTATAGGTCAAAATCAAAAGTACTTGAAACACGTTTAATTTTAGATTACAAGCACAAGTGCAGATACTTAATAAAGCATGGGTTATGATTGATTAGGTGACTTAGAGCTTTTAATAATTTATTAAATTAGACTAATGAGGTATCATAACCATCAAATGAATTTAAATAATAAACTTCAGAAAGTCTAATGACATTAAGTAGATTAACAAAAGAATTAGGATGCGGGTGGTCCGCTTAGGGAGGCAACTAACCTTTATAGTTGTAGAATAAATCTTCTTATTTAGTATTGAATTTAAAAAAAAAAGAAAACGCAGGCAGACCAATAGCATTTAGCAGATTAACAAGGAGAGGAATAGTTTAGGAAATAAGAAAAGGAAAGGAATGTGACAATTAATAGCTTTTAAACTTTTGGAGGTATTGTATTCCCCTGAGTTTGTTGTACTCTCAATACGCGAAATCTCTTATATATGCGATTAAAGCATTTGAGTTAACTTATTTCTTAGTGTTCAAGTACTTACATTTGTAAACAGCAATCAATGTTAATCTATGAACTAAACCATACGTAAAATCGATCTTTCCTTATGTGGTATTGATGCATGTTTAACTTTTCGCGTCTGTCGGAATCAACGCGCCTACGTCTACGGAGCTTACGCAGAAGTGATTTGCAATGCGGTAGAGCTCACCAAAAGTTTTTTTTTTTTTTTTTTTTTTTTTTTTTTTTTTTTGAGCTTCTGTAGTACAGAATTTGTTCGGTACGGTCGCGAAATCTTGAAATGATTGATACGTGCGGTAAAATAACTAAATTGAAACAAAGCTCAACAGTAAAATAAGTAGAATATTTAGGGAGGAAACCAAAATTTATCAACTTGCCAACATAGGCTATCACATTTATTTTGGTGGCACTCTTTAAGTGATAATAAGTTGTTTTTTTTTTCTCTACGGTTGTTTCGCGTGGCGTTCACAATTTGCGCGATTTTCGTATCTTACGTAATTTAGATGTTTAACTATAAACGGTTTCACTGACTCGAGGTCGTTCCTTAAGCGGTGTTGGTACAGGTTAAACCTTTGCCGACTGTCGGATTCAACGCGCCTACGTCTACGGAGCTTACGCAGAAGTGATACGCAATTCGGTAGAGCTTGTCAAATGCTTTTGAGCTTATAGAATTTGTTCGGTGCGGTCGCGAAATCTTGAAATGATTGATACGTTCTTTAAATTAACTTATTTGATACAAAGCTCAGTAGTAAATAAGTAGAATATCTAAGGAGGAAACCAAAATTAATCAACTTGCCAACATAGGCTATCACATTTATTTTGGTGGCACTCTTTAAATGATAATAAGCCTTTTTTTCTCGCTCTCGGAATTCGCGCGGTTTTCGTAACTTACATAATTTAGATATTTCGTTCGAAACGGATTTACTTATTCAATCGGTTTACTACGCGGATGTATCTACGCGCACACGTCACAGCATTTTTTCTATAACTATCTTGAAACAATACATACGGAATCCAGTGTTCAAGCGGCCAACATAGACTAGTCCTTCTGCTGTATTGTCAAAGATAGAAGCAAAATTTATTCAAATGGGTCAAGCCTTGAAAATTAAGCTGTCACGCAGCTCCAGCTTGATACCAAAAAAAAAAAAAAAAAAAAACAACAATTTAAAATTGATTCATGCAAATCAGTGATGCAAAAGTTCACTATGATTCGCGAGCTTTTTCCTAGGTGAAATCTCTATTGAAAGTATGCCAGTTGGGCAGGAATGTCAGTAAGGCTTGAGCGTCAGTTTAGCTATTTATCAAATGTTGCAGTGAATGTGTGTAGTATTATTTATGTTATTTTTGAATCTGGAAGAGATTTAGTATAACCAAATGTATTTGATACCAAATGAAAATTCTATAACATTCCCCAGAAAACCATCTCCCAGAATTCCATTCCCCAGAATGTACCATTCTCCAGAAAAGTATGCCATGTATTATTGACTATTTTTTGTTTATTATAGTCACTCCAGGAATCTTCTTTCGCGTATATAAAAAGAAGAGAAAAACTTTTTAATGGGTCAAGGGGTTTGAGGAGACCTTAATGAATCAAGGGGTTTTCCCTTCTTTGAAAACATAAGAAAAGGAAATAATATTTTTTTTTTATATACGATAAAGAAGGGAATATTCCCTTCTTTAAATATATATAAAAGAGAACATTCGATAAATATATAAAAAAGAAGGGAATTTTCCTTTCTTTGAAAATATAACAAAAGAAAATAATTAATTCTCTGGATATACGATAAAGAAGGGACTATTGAATATATAAAAGAGAACATCAGTAATTCTATGGATAAACGATAAAGAAGTGAATATATCTTTCTTTGATGTATGATAAAAAGGGAATATTCCCTTAGTCAATAAATGGCATACTTTTCTGGGGAATGGTTCATTCTGGGGAATGGGATTCTAGGGAATGCTTTTCGGGGGAATGGTTACCTGGGGAATGTTTTAGAATCCAAATGACCATTTTGCCAAAGGACCATTATGCTACGTTATCTTAAGCCAATTGGATTTATGCCAAAGGCGTTCCCCCATTAATTGTTAAACCGACCCTGATTGGATGATCTTCGTAAAATGTTTTCTTAGTATCGTATTGACTAATTCCGATATCAACATCAAACCAGTTTGACGTTCAAAAAAAAAAACAACGTCGAACACTTGGACTGTTTGACGGGAATCGCCCTGTTGTTTACAATATAGTAACAGCTTTTGGAAATGAATTCGGGGTAATGGCCATTCGGGGTAATGGTCATTCGGGGTAGTGTACTATTCGGGGTAACGGCGTTCGGGGTAGTGTACCGTTCGGGGTAACGGCGTTCGGGGTAGTGTCACAGAATCATCCTGCGCACCTTCAGTGGTGAAATACTTTCATTCTGAGCGGTTGCTGGTTTTTGCTTTAATCTGGGCCCAAGCCAATCGACCTGTTTGATTTCCTTGTTGAAGCTCCGCCGCCATGTGCTCCTGGATCTGCCTCTACGAATGTAGACGATGCCTTTAGGGGGATCTGCAAGCTTGGGAAACTAAACCGGAAAAGTACAATGTGTGGGATACGTTGCGAGAATGCCGGACAAAAAATCCGCAACATGGATTGCCTCAAATCCGGCCAGTATAAGATACAGAGAAATTGGAGACAAGCCGCCATCGAAGGACCCGGAAAAGTGTAACTATGACACTGCTTTTGACCGACTAAATCACCAGAACCAACGAGGCGCAAAGGAGATAAAATCGCCAAGAAATGGCCGGGTGCAGAAGCGCGGGAGGTGAAGTGAAAAAAGTTACCTCTTCTCACACACCGCGCAGAGTAACAATGAACATTTTTTTTTAAATACGTTTCAACCAAAGGACCAAATTAGACCAGTGACCAGAAGTGACGCTCGACTCGACTTACATAAAAGTGGAACTCAACAAACAAATGAATACCCTAGTGAATACCTACCCAACGTTTCCACGAAATTATTTTCTTTCATTTAAAATTGTGCACCCACAGCGTTCAGACCAAGTCAAATCTTTTTCCATTGAACTGATACTTTTTGAAGCTTTATTATTTTCAAACATGTCTAATAACTAGGGAGTTCAAAGTAGTTGAATTGAACCTTACCTTCTAACACACTCAAATGCATCGTCCTCCCCGCCTAAAGCAGTCCCTCCATCTCCCTCATAAACTGCATGTAGGCATCATCCTTGCTGGGTTTTCTCTGGTCAGGAGCCCCCGGACCGGATCTTCCAGGTTGCTGGAAATGGTGCTGCTGCGGATGGTGGTGCAGCTGATGATGATGGGGATGATGAGGGTAATGATGTTGTTGCGCATGGTGTCCTACGTCGGAACGGCCACCCACTTGGGGACGTTTGATACCTTCATCCTTCTTGGTTCGCAGAGCACTTGGCACGAAACGGGTGACGTCGGCACTGAGGTTTCGGATTTGCGGCTTCGCTGAAATGGTAGCACTCTTCGGATCCTTCTGCTGTTGCATCATGTTTCGCATGTGCTGCTGCTGGATGTGCTTCGGCGGTGGACCAGTGGGAGGACCCGGTGGCATTCGAATGCCCAATCGCGGTGGAATGCCCGGTGGGGGACGTGGAGGCATTCGAAGTCCTGGAATGCCGGGAATTCCTGGGCGAAGCGGCGGAGGTCGTATCATGAGGGCGGGTTGTATTGGAGCAGGACCAGGCATCGGAATCGATGGCATCGGGACGTATTTGACCGTAGTATCCGATGGGTGTGGTGCAGGATTGGGCAAAGCAATTGGTACCTTTGGCGGAATCGGTATCGCGCTGACTGGCGCTTCCAGTTGATCTTTCTTCTTTTGTACGTTTTCCATCTCCTTCATAAATTCATCCAGATTTTGACCGGAAATAGCAAGCATTTTTTGCTGAACAGAACTGGGCTGCTTGGGCTTTTCAATGTCCGAATCGTCCGAGTTATCACGAGAATCGGCATCGTCGAAGAATTTAACGCTTTTCTGAGTTTCACTATGAAATTCTTCCAGATCAAAATCTAGTTCGGGCATGGCAAACACATCGGGAGCAGGACCTGGTGGACATCCGGGGATATCGTCGTCGTCGTCAACTGGCTCCGAAGGTTCTATAGGGTTTTCCACTGGCTTTTTCAATATAGGTGCTGGGGCAGGTTTCACTGTTGGGACGATCGACGGTATCGACATTGGCGGAATTGGGATTCTAGGGATCGATAGCGGAGTAGGTGTTTCATTCATCGAGGGCAGTGGAATATCGTCCACCTGAACCTGTTCTGCATGGCGTACGCTTTCGTAGTACTGAATGCGCTTGTTCCGGCGCTTTTCGTAATCAACTTCTTTCCTTTTGAGATCCGCCCACAAGTCCGGATCATCGGCCTGGTAGAGCCGCATTACGCGGTCAAGGGTTTCCTTTAGTTTCTTACGTTTTTCCTTCAGAACCTTTTCATTCAACGGCGACGGTTGATAGACATTGAACTCCATCTCGTCGATTTTCTCCATTTCTTCGATTAGCTGAGCTGGATCTTTTCCTTTGAGGACCGCGGCCCGGACCATCTGCCGCTGCTTTTTGTTTTTCTTCAGCTCTTTCTTGCGAGCTTCCTTACGGGCCTGATCCGTTGGGTTCATGTACTTACCGCTCTTGGTTGTGTTTATCGAGCGGCGACCCATTTTGGTGGATTATTTCAGCCGAAAATCAGGAAATAAATTGATTTTTTTTCTAAACTTGTAGCGAAATTCGATGTAAACACGGCGCTGTGAACTTTGTTTTGCGATAGAACTGTCAGAAAACTGGTTGCTATAAAATTTTGGACAATGCGTTACTACGTCTCGTGACGTTCAGAAAATTGAGGGTGTCTCGGGAGGCCCATTTGAAATGAAACGGATTGGTGGACGATAATTAAATTTAGAATTTGAATGCGTCAGAGAATTTTTTTTGATTTCTATCAAATATTGCTTGAGATATTAATTATGCAAGTATGAAAGTAGCACATTTGAGTATGTTCTTGTTCTATTTAATATAATAAATTTCTGTAACAGAAAACATCACTGGATTTAAAAACATCGTTAAAACTCCTCAACAACAAAATTTGGTTTCCTAATTTATGCTTGCGCTCCTTAATTTCACATCTGCATGGCCTTTATCTGTTCCAGACAGTAGTTGGCCTGTATCACAGTGTCCTCGTGACTATGCTGCTTGCCATACTTCCAGGCAAACGAGCAAAATTCTTTTGCCTGGTTGATCAAGCCCTGCTGCAGGTACAGCAATCCCAGGTTGGCCCGATAGACTCCTTCCTCCGAAAGATTGGGTATCTGAGAGGCCAAGCTGATTGCTTCTTTGAGATACTTTTCCGCCGAGGTGTAGTCTTCTAGCTGCGATACAAAAAAAAAATACACTTGATCATTAATCTTGTTGATATTCGATAAATATTAAGACTTACATTAGAACATGCCACACTCAAATTGTTCAATATCGACAGCCCTTCCTCCGTCAATTTACCATGTATTTGTGTGTACGCATCGTACGCTTGCTTGAAACATTCCCGTGCTTCCGTGAACCTTTTCAGCTCCATCAACAGCTGCGCGTACCAATTCTTGGTGATTCCCCATAGTTCCAAAATTTCCTTATCCTCCCCAACCTTTTTAAGATTTTCCTCTAGTTTGGCTATCGTCCACTCAAAGCCCTGCACTGCTTTATCCAGGTGACCTTGAAGCTGTGCTATGTGAGCTATTTTTGAACTGATGTGCAGCATCTTGATGTGGTCCTCCACGAATCCATCGGCAAACAATCGCTGCATAACATTGGCAAACAGCTTTTCCGCCTTAGTGAACTCACCGACTTCCATGGCCAAATTGGCCATTATGTCGTAGATGTACGTAATACCATCCTTGCTGTGCAGATCCTGGGCCATTTTCAACGCGATATGCAACATCTGCTCAGCCTTTCGGTAGTCCTCCCTCTGGATGTTGAGTATAGACATCTTGATGGTTTTGATTAGTTGATTTTCCGGCGAATCTTCGTCGTCCTTTTTACTGAACCAAGACAGGAACGAACTGGCAGCGATGAACTGAATCGGATACCGACGGGATCTGCTACTACTGTCGGTGACTTTGTTATTGTTCCGCTCATCGTTCTGCTGATGATGCCTTTGATGATGGTCGTCGGTTTCCGGTGGATTAAGTTTGCTGCTTACCCGCGGATGGTTGATTGATATAAAGCTTCGCTTTGACAATGTGTTGACTAGGTTGATCGGAAGTTTTCGAAACATTTTGATATTTTTTTGGGGAAACTTTCAAAAACTGTTCACGAGTTGCACGGAATTCTGACTGCTGATTTTCGTGTGACGATTCGGCTTTGAATTTGACGTTTCTCTGTTATGCATTTTTTTTTGCGAGAGATTTTTCTCTTTTTCTCTCACCGTTCTCAACGTGAAAAAACTTTGCTGAGAGGGAGAGTGCGGAGAGTGTAATAATAGGGTTGGAAAACATTCAAAACAAATACACGGTAGGAAAAAGTCCCAACGGCCATTTCACTTTTACTTACTTTTGACTAGTTTGTCTCCTTTTATCCTTCTAATGTTGTCAAAACGGAGGAGTAAACAGGGGTGGTAAATTGTGGGAAATCAACGTTGATTATAATCATATTTACTTACTTTTGGGTATAACTAACTTACTTTTGGGTGGAAAGCTAGAGGAAAATTTCATACGAATTTCACACAAGTAAATGAAAACTACTTTGACTCGCTTTACCTACATTTGGGTTCCTGCACTATAGTGCCGGATAAAGATACTGAATTGGGTAAATAGGCGACATCTTATCCATTTAACAGGTCTTCTGTACGATTGGAATTATGTTTCCTATGACTATGACAGATAATCGATTGTTCCAATTTCCAATTTCGTCTCTTTATAAATTCAGCTTCTTTAGTGCCGAGATGAGTGAAAAGAACTTACTTTTTGGTATTTTTTTCTTACCGTGTACTGCAAAAATTGCAACAGGGGTGTCATGTGCATTTAGAAAAATCTTCAACGAGATTGGACGACATTTCCCGGAATTATGTTTTAACGTAGGACTACGTCTGTGATTTCTATATGGGGGTACACTTTGTGGAAACCGAAAATGGAACATGTAACAAAATTATGAAAGATTTTGAACATTAATAACTCAGCTGCCTCTGGACAAATTTCAATAATTTTATCACCAATCGATCAATAGTATTTGTACGCATCAATAGCAATGCTTGTGACTGATGATTTTTTACAAGAAACTATTGAAAAAGTGGCAATATCAAGCATTGCCCAATGTACAAATAAAAAGTGATAAAGTGAAAAATTTTATCACTGTTTTCATGAAATAAACGTTCTTTTCAAACCCAGTTGCAACCCAGTACCACTTGATTGCACATCATTCTGCTTTATCCTGAAAATATATAAAGAGCACTGCTGTCTAGCCTCAACTCAACGATCTGAGCAAGGAGATTGCTTGCAGAATGGTCTCAATCCGGAACGAAAGTTTCGGGCGGCTTGTCCAGAATCTGGACGACCGCTCCAGACCATTTTGGAAAGTTGCCAAGGTCTTAAAGACGCATCCCAAACCCATTCCACCACTCAAAGATGAAAATAATGACGATCGGCTCATCATCACCCCTCAGGAGAAAGCAAATGCGATTGCCAAATTGCACTTGCTTGGCTCCAACATTTAAAGTCCGCTCGAAGTACAGGTTGAGTAATGCGTACTCAACCTTGATTCCTACCCTTGTGCCATCCCTCCGGAGGATAGACAGTGGAACAGATTTGCTCAGCGCTGAAAACATGATGCTTGGAACTGCACTACGTTCCAAGTATCTGGAAGACAGCGAAAATCATACCTATTCGCAAACCCGGGAAGGATTCAACCCGAATAGAAATTTACATTAGCCCAACGTTTGATTTTGATGTCTACATCAGCATCAAAATCAAATGTATGCCTGATGTCAAACATTAGGAAACATTATGATTTAGATGTATTTAAGCAACGTAACATGATGTATACATCAGAAATTTTGGAACAAAATTTTGCCATTCTAATGTCGGTCTGACGTCAAAAATTTCAATCTATTGACATTAGAACCAAACGTTTTAAGGATGTTTTCAGATGTACAAAACGTTAGAACTAAACGTTGTTCGGATGTTTTTAAATGTAAACGTTTTCTGATGTTTTCTAATGTAGATGTTTCCTGACGTTAGAACCAAACGTTTTTGGATGTTTCTGGATGTACTTAACGTTAGAACTAAACGTTGTTCGGATGTTTTTAAATGTAAACGTTTTCTGATGTTTTCTAATGTAGATGTTTCCTGATGTTAGAAACAAACGTTTTTGGATGTTTTCAGATGTAAAAAACGTTAGAACTAAACGTTTTTCGGATGTTTTTATATGTAAACGTTTTCGGATGTTTTCTAATGTAAAGGTTTCCTGATGTTAGAATCAAACGTTTTTGGGTTGTTTTCGGATGTAAAAAACGTTAGAACTAAACGTTGTTCGAATGTTTTTATATGTAAATGTATTCTGATGTTTTCTAACGTAGATGCCTCCCGATGCTGGAACCAAACTTTTTTTTTGATGTTTTCGGATGTACACAACGTTAGAACTAAACGTTGTTCGGATGTTTTTAATTGTACTTCGTGTTTGTTGTTCTCTGATGTTTTCAGATGTACAAAACGTTTAAAGTAAACGTTGTTTGAATGTTTTCAAATGTAGATGTTTACTAATGTTTTTAGATATACAAAACACTAGAATCTTACTTTTCAAATGCTTTCAATTATATTTACAACACATTAGAATTAGAAACATGATCGTGTAAACACTACACACGATTGTTGTTAGATTACATCATAAAAATGCGTACATAACAGTCAATGCTGAAGCTCCCGTTTCCCACCAGTCAGTTAACTGACCTTAGCTAACCTAATATCATTGCGGCAACTCTCTATGCGGCAGGGGAACTATGCCATTAGCGCGCTAAGAGTTATTAGACCACTGACATAGGCGCCAATTTGTAGGTGACGAGGCACTTGGTGACATTACAGCGAGCTTGACGATTGTTGCAGCATTTTTTTAGCAAACTACCAGTTAAGGTGTGTAGTGTTTACAAGATCATGTTTCTAGCTCTAATGTTTTGTACAATTGAAAGCATTGGAAAAGTTAATTCTCATGTTTTGCATAACCAAAACCATCAGAAAACATAAAATAGTACAAAAAAAAACATCCATTCTGGTAGACTATCTCTTAAATGCATACAGAATAGCCATTGCTTAAGCTCCCGTTTCCCACCAGTCAGTTAACTGACCTTAGCTAACCTAATATCATTGTGGCAACTCTCTATGCGGCAGGGGAACTATGCCATTAGCGCGCTAAGAGTTGTTAGACCACTGACATAGGCGCCTATTCGTGGGTGACGAGGCACTTGGTGACATTACAGCGAGCTTGGCGATTGTTATAGCATTTTTGAGTGAACTACCAAACAATCATGACAATGTGATCGCTGCGCCTCCAGATCTCTGCCTGTTCTACAGATGATCCGAAAATGCGGAAAGTTTTGGGCTGCCAGTCTTCTACCTTATTGACGAACTGCAAATATATAATAAACAAAATTATTGTGCATGAAAAATATGACAATGGACAATGCTTGAGGAGCACTGGGAGTTTTCGAACGATGCGTGCTTAGGACCATCTTTGGCAGGGTATATGAAAATGGTGTATAGAGGAGAAGAATGAACCACGAACTGGCGTAACTTTATGGTGAACCCAATATCAAGAAAGTCGCTAAAGGTGGAAGGGTACAATGGGCGGGACACGTTGTAAGAATGCCGGACAACAATACCGCAAAAATGGTGTTTTTCCTCAAATCCGGCCGGTACAAGACGCAGAGAAGTACAGCGTGCTAGGTGGTTAGACCAAGTGGAGCAAGATGTAGGAAGTGTGGGACGCTCGAGAAATTGGAGATAAGCAGCCAGGGACCGAGTTAGTTGGCGCAACTTTGTTATACAAAACCAGATTTAATGCCTTATTCATACTCGAATCGGTTGAAAAATAGACTTAATCTTCTAGGTTACTCGATATCCATCCATTGCAAACAATATTTTGATAATTGTTTGTTTTGAGAGCTGGTGCACAGGTAGATTGAGGTTAAGGAAACGCCACTGCTTGTGGCCAATCTTGGGTACCATCATAAGGCTTGATGAAACTTATTCCACCCGGAAACATGTTTTTTCCGGAATTATGAAGTCATTATACGTTATGATGACATTTTGTATTTTTAAGTTACAAGAGGACGTTGTAAAGGATGAGTTTGACGTATAAAATCTGTGGATTTAATTTTCAGAGAGTCGCAATCAGCGTATTCATTAAATCACTTATGGCTAAGCTCCAATCGGTATTATCCTCGGATTAAATAACGATCAAGAATGTCCGGCTGCTTTGATGTCGACATCAGAGTTATTCGCTATACAAACAATTCTCAGATCATCCAAACAGAGGCGGTATTAAAAGTTAATCCGAGTTGGAGCTTACCGCCGCTTACTCTCTGAATCCAATATTGATAGGCTGAAAAAAAATGGTTTAAAAATGGAACCTAAATCCAAAATTTCATAAATTTTGGTTCACATGAACCACAGAGAACAGACATGGAGGCTCGAACAAAATTTCTCTAAAAACTTGTGTAAAGATTCCTATTCGACTTAAGCGCCACTAACAGCGACTTTCCCACTTAAAAAACCTCTTTGAAAACATGATGGCGCATGCGTTGCACAAATTACACTAGACACTAAGTGCTAGTAGCGCCAAGTGGCTATTTTCAACAGAAAATTTATAGATACTAGCGCCAAATTGGTCGAAAGTGGAAAATTTATAGAGAAAATCAGGAGATGCTCACACCACGTAACGGCGACGTTCCCACTTATTTTACACAAGTTTCTGACCGAGCTTCAACGTCTGTTCTCTGTGCATGAACTATGATAAATCAGTGCGATTACATTTGCAAATATCACCATTTTAGCGGCCCTCGCCATAGAGCGAACTCTCATTTAATGGATATTAATGTCATCTAATACAATTTATCGACAATTTAAATCTTGGTTTACAAATCGAGATGAATGTCTGGGAACGATAAAAATATATTTGTGCTCAGAAAACAAAGCTCGTTCAGATGATGTACAAAAATTTGTTTGTTTTTCGAAACTATACAACCCAATTCCATGTTTTCCACACGAAACGAAAATTAATGGCACTACACTAATAGCATTCCATGCCGGCGCCCGTGGTGTAGTGGTAAGAGTGACTGCTTTCTAATACCCCAA